TCCACAAACTGTCAAAAAAAAAAAAAAAAAAAAAATTTTTTTGCTTTCTTCCTTTATAACTGCTTAACACGTATCAAGAAAACATATTTTTGCAATATTGTATTCTTCAAAACAAAATAATTATTTTATAAATTTATACAATTTTATTTAAGAGAAGACTCTTTTTTTTCTGTAATTAACTATGAAGTTTTTCATCATTTTGATGTATGTTTTTTTTAATATACTAGAATATATATTGATACACATAATGACACTAAAAAATTTAATTTTATAACGGAATGAAATAAAATGTATTTAAGATTCGTACACAGCAGAAAACAAAATGAAATACCTCAAATTTTTGCGGACTTCGCATTTGATTGCTCCGAAATTTTGCTTGTGATACTATTTGATTGTATCGCATAATATTCGTTCGCAAAATTACTGTGCATGCTTTTGCTTTCTTCCTTTATAACTGGTTAACACGTATCAAGAGAATATATTTTTGCAATATTGTACTCTTCAAAACAAAATAATTATTTTATAAATTTGTACAATTTTATCTAAGAGAAGATTCTTTTTTTTCTGTAATTAACTATGAAGTTTTTCATCATTTTGATGTATGTTTTTTTTTAATATACTAGAATATATATTGACACACATAATGACACTAAAAAATTTAATTTTATAACGAAATGAAATAAAATGTATTTAAAATTCGTACACAGCAGAAAACAAAATAAAATACCTCAAATTTTTGCGGACTTCGCATTTGATTGCTCCGAAATTTTGCTTGTGATATTATTTGATTGTATCGCATAATATTCGTTCGCAAAATTACTGTGCTATTTGCGTGAAGCGTCGTGAAATTTTGTTTGCAGAACTATTAATAAACGAATGTCATCTGCAGTAAACGCGACGCGGACCACGATCTCTCCCGAAATCTCGGTCTAGGTTTCACCTGTTTAATCACTTGTCGTTAGTCTTCTCGTCGGTCTCGTTGCACTTTTTGTCATCGTGTCACTTTCACCACTACGAGTTGCATATCTGTTTGCATAAGCACGCGAGAACAATTATATCTCGTGTCACTTCCGCGACATCGAGCACGATACCCATTAATGTCTTTGCACTTTCTCTTGCGTATATAGTGTTATTATCTCTTTTTTTTTACATTAAAAGAAAACTCGTCAACTTTTGCATTTTTAGATATAATCTAGTTTAATGATATATAGTACGAAAATTTTGCAAGATCAAAGAAGGAATAATTTCACAGGACTTCAGAGAAGGATACAAAGATTTTTGTGTGGCTTCTTATACAAATATTATATTATAATACGCATAATTATAATATGTATCAATAGGGAAGGATCTGTTTGCATAAGCACGCGAGAACAATTATATCTCGTGTCACTTCCGCGACATCGGGATGAATCATAATTTGATCTATCGGTGACAAAAGAGAATTATCGAGGAATATGTTTCTATCGATGCACTTTTTGCAAAAATTTGAAGAACGTTTCGAATTTCACGTTTGAAGATATTGCCTTGCTCATCGGTGAATCACTTTGTTTTTCTCAAACAGGGTTTCGTCGCGTTCCACGAAATGCAAGTAGCACGCCAATCACTGACTCGTATCACTTAGTTCAATTCACAGATTTTAAATTCTATATTTTTATTCAGAGAGCTAACATGGACTAGTTAATTCTATCAATATCAGTTATTAGTTTCTCCATTAAAAGAAAATTCGTCAACTTTTGCATTTTTAGATATAATCTAGTTTAATGATATATAGTACGAAAATTTTGCAAGATCAAAGAAGGAATAATTTCACAGGACTTCAGAGAAGGATACAAAGATTTTTGTGTGGCTTCTTATACAAATAGTTCGTTAATTTTTTTTTTTTTTTTTTGTGAATCTTATTTTCTTCCTTAATGAGAGAGGAAATAGAGTCTTAATGATCCAAGTACGAAGAGGTTTTAAGCAAGACGAATTTTAATACAATTCGGATATTATATCTGTGCAATAGTCATTTTATTAATACGTTTATTTCTTCGTTGATGATCTCTTTATCTTCTGTAAATTGAAGAAAAAGGTAGATATCTATTGTACTCGAACGATTATACTTATTTTTTTGATCGTCTCGGATAAAATCAGGTTTTCTTCTTTAAGAAATTCTGAATTGATTATCTTTTCTGATTTATCTTTGTAATGATTGTTCATTAATTTCTCGCTTCTTCATCAGTGAATTGTGCCATTTCCCCAAAGGGGAAAGAAAGAGAGAGAGAGAGAGATAAAACAGCTTTACTCAAAAATAAGTAAACACGTCAAGTGTCGATTCATGTCATTCAATTTCACTAACTCACATCTTTACACATTAACGATTATGGTATTTATTATTAAAGACTACATTAAATAGAGTTATATTAACATTTAGAGATCATGATTGCTGGAAAAATCTACAATTTTCAAGATTATATTGACTAATCATATCTCACATTGATCGAATTAGACTTGATTTATTTTATTAATAATCTTGCTAATGATTATATATTAATAAGCTTGATTATATGATCTTTATTTATTATTATAATTCGACAAGTACACATAAACTCGAGTATGATTTGTATATTAACAGTCTTGGGACATGATAACACTATTAATCTCGCTGATATTGATTTTGCCGGAGACCACCGATAGTAAACCATCTTGAAACTGCTGATCACTATGGTTGTGAATCATATTAAATCTATTAACAAGCTTGAGTATAGGTATTCCTTTGAGTGATTTTTAAGAATTTTCTTGTTGATTATATTTATTAATTAATAGCCTCATTGTTCATTCATTTATTAATAATCTTACCGAATAATAGTGTTTTTTTATTTAAATTATTTATTAATTATTTTATTGTTAACCATTCTTATTAATAATATTTTATTAATAATCATTCCTTTTAATAATTTATATGATTTACATTACTAGTAACTTTGTCAAAGATCAAGAATTTCAACAGCACTATCTCTTGTCAAATGTTACTTTTTAATTCCATGGTTTTTATGCTCGAAATTCCTCTGTCACTGGTCTTTCACTTTTCATTGAGCTTAGCGATCGCGATACGGTTTTGCTTGCCTTGCTCGATGAAAAATATTTTTATGGGTATTTGCTTACATTATATACATATGCAATCATAAGTAGATGAACC